CATCTCTCTGATGATTAGTGATGTTGCTTATTTTTTTCATATGTCTTTTGGCCATCTGTATGTCCTCTTTGGAGAAGTGTTTATTCAGGTCCTTTGCCCATTTTTGGATTGTTTGTCTTCCTGGCGTTAAGTTGTATTAGTTCTTTATATATTTTGGGGATTAACCCCTTATCAATGAATCATTGGTGAATATGTTCTCCCATATGCACTAACCACCAATACACTAACCACCCCCCACTGCACTAACACTCTGTACAAACCAGCACTAGTGAGCAGGGATATTCATCTTTAAACAAATGACCTGCCCAAGATGATGAATTTCCCTCCAAATCAGGCCTTTTGAATAAGAACAGACAGATGCAACTTGCTGTCTGTAAACTAGCAGGAACAGATCTGAGACTGTATTATTTTCTCACCTAGGGATAAAAAATGGGCTGCTCTTTATACTTTACTAGAGGTGCAGGGCATGACATTTGTGTATGGATAGGGTGCCTAGAGGCTGCCAGCTGCCGGCGGGCTGGGGTCTCCCTTCCCAGGGTTGGTTGGCCCTGCCCCTGGTTGAAATCCCAGTAGAACTCCTGGTCAAGGGGACAGATTTGCATATCAGGCTTTTATGATATAGGTTTATATAGGATAACCAGGATCATATTACCAAGTAATAAATTTAATAATTTGGATCTCTTCTACTTAAAAAATATTAGGTATCCTCTGCTCTGTTAGCTCTTTATCCATTTTACCAATACCACATTGTCTTGATTACTGTAACTTTATAATTAGTCTCAAAATTAGAAGTGTTGTTCTTCGAATTCCATTCTTTTTTTAAATTTTTTTGGTTATACTACATCTTTTGCATTTTCTTTTTTTATATCTTTCACATTTTCATGTGAATTTTGGAATCAGTTTGTTAATTTCTACAATAAAGCCTGCTGGAATATTGATTTGTGGAGAATTGCCACCTTAATGATATTGATTTGCCCATTCCATGAACATGGTATATTTCCCCATTTGTTAGATCTTTAAATTTCTCTCAGCAATAGTTTGTAGGTTTCAGTGTACAGGTGATCTTTTCTAGTCTATTTTTTCTTTTCTAGTCTTTTGTCACATTTATCCCTAAGTATTTCACACTTTTTGATGCTATAGCAAATTATACATTTTTTTAAAATTTCATTTTCCAATTGCTTATTGCTAATGTATAGAGCTATAATTGATTTCTATGTTGGTGTTTTGTCTTCTGCAAGCAATCCAGACATAAAGGGACAGCTGATGCTTTGTGTGTGTGTTTTTTAAAGTTATAATATCAATTCAGCAGAGATAATCTTTTCAACAAATGGTGCTGGGACAATTGGATAGTTACATACAAAAGCAAACAAATAAACAAACAAAACAAAAAGAGACCAAACCAAAACAGTACTGCTATTGGGAATGCAAAATAGTACAATTACTTTGAAAAATGGTTCATCAGTTTTTTTATAAAACTAAACATCATGTGTCATATGATCCAGCCACTCCTAGTCATTTTCTCTACTAAAGAGAAATAAATGCCTATGTCCACACAAGAACCTAAATGTGAATGTTCATCGCAGCTCTATATGCAATAGCCCCAAACCAAAACAATGTAAATGTCCATGTAACACGTGAATGGGTAAACAAACTGTGTGATATCCATGCTATGGAATAGTGCTCAGCAATAAAAAGAAAGGAACTATTGATACAAGTTACAGTGTGGATGGATTCTTTGAATAGTTACAATGAAAGGAAGAATCCAGGCAAGAAAGAGCATATACTATGGTTGCATTTATATAAAATTCTAGAAGATATAACAAATTAATAGTGACAGAAAGCAGATGGTGTTTGCCTGGGTGACAGAGCCCTTTGGGAGGTAAGGAGTATGAAGGACATGAAGAAACTTCTGGTAATGATGATTATGTTTATTCTCTTGATTGTGGTGATTGATTCATGAGTGTACACATTTGACTTTAAATTTATCAAATCGTTCAATTTAAATGTATGCAGTTTATCTGTCAATTAACCCTCAGTAAAGCTGTTTAAGAAAAACTAAGAAACATGAGGAGTTATCAGATGGCAGCAAGAACCTTGTGAGGTTAAAGAGCAATGCTGTAGTTGATGAGCTTTAAAAACCTTGACTGCAATTTTGCTCTCTGCACTTTGACAGCTCATCTTTGCTGGGTTCTGACTAAAGCTGCATTTCCTTTCACACTGCAATCCAGTTGCCCCAGGCCACTGGCTGTCTCCTACATCTCCTCAGGGGTCATGCAGGACACTGGTTAGCCAGGTGGGAGGACCTGAACAATCACCAACATAACTCACATTCTCAGATATGGGAGAAGTCCAAACATAGCCTTCTGAAAGCAAAACTTCATGGAATCCACAGAGCTATGGCGTTAACACCAACCCAGCCAGGATGGATGGCTCTGATCAAGTACTGGCTAGACTGGTCTGACTGACTGACTGGATGTAAATGATTGGGAGTCTTGCCTTAAACACACACACACACACACACACACACACACACACACACACACACACACGAGGGGGAAGGAAGTAAGAGATATTATGGATTTACTAATCCCCAAGGAGCCCATGGATGCCTTTCAGTGGGTCCATGACCCCAAAATCATATGCAAGTTTTGTAAGTATATGTATTTATGCTTTTTTTTTTCCTGGGGAGAGAGTACATAGCTTTCATCAGACCCCTCAAAGACCTCCCAGACTAAAAAGATTAAGAAGAGCCAACGCGGATAAATCCACACATCTTTTATTTCTTCTTCCTCCTCTCTATCTCCCAGGAGAAGAATGTATTCGTCACTTATTCTATGCTTTCCGCTGAGATTACATCTATGCGACCTACACCAAGCCATCACCAACAATTTCATTTCTTAGCCTTTGCCTGGGAGCACTTACTCCATGCTGCCCCATGATCCTGCGCCCTGGCACAGTTCCCAGCTGCTTAGGAATTGGAGTTGTTTCCAGGTTCCCAGATGTGCAATCTGGCCGACGCCTTTTCTCTCCCCAGGGACGCAGTCCCTAGCCGATCCTACTACTACCCACGCGTGTTACTTGCTTTTGTCTGAGGGTATTGATGGGGTCGTCTTCCCCAACCTCTGCGGGGACTGCCTGCTTTGCAACATTTGTGCAGCTTTCCTTCTGGGGCTAGGAGAACCGCGCTCATGGTTTCTCGAATTGCTGTAAAACTCCAGCTCGGATACCCCATTGCAAGCCCCGGGTTTCCCTCTTTGCCTTGGAAATCGGGAAGAAGTTGTATTAAAAGCCTGGCCTCGCAGCTCCCTCCCTTGGGGGTGGTTCGGGGCGCAGAGACTGGCGCTCTGCTCCTAGCCACTGCTCCCTCCACGTGCTCCCCACAAGCGGGTGCCGCGCCCCCTCCCTG